CATTATTTTTCTTCACTTAACCCAAGATTAAGAATGAAAGCTGCTTTTGATACGAATTTGTAGGAAATATGGAAGGAAAATAGTATCTTTAGAGAATGCTCAAGTTTATTATAGGCTACTTACACTTTGTTTGGATCATTGTTACCCATTGTTTCATAATGTATTGTATTGTATTGCACTCTTTTTTACTGTATTGTGTGGTAGATACAATGTTTGGCTAGACTGTATTGTTTGTTGTTATTTAATAACTTTTTAGTTGTTTGATTTGTTTGTATCATACTGTATTATAATTTATAAATTTATAAAAATATCCTTTATCATCATAGGGTGGGAGGTTTGACTAGATTTAAATAATTAAGGTAAAGGGTAAAATAGTATTTTGAAATATTATATAAAGATATAATTGAAAAAAAGAATTAAGTAACTATAGGAACACACCAAATTGGTTGTTCCATAAAATAGGGGTTTTCATTGTTATGTAACAACGAATTTAATAATATAGTACAATACATTTTAAATAACAATCAAAACAAACATTGTAGATATAGTAACGATACAATACAATACAATGGATAACAATGATCTAAACATAGTGTTAAGATCACTGAGATGATTACAATCATCAACTACATCTCTATTTATACTAGTAATAATGTAAATCAAAGGTCTTGCACAAATAACTAAATACATGTATCACAATTTACTAGACACATGTATTACGAAATCATAAAAAGACTTCTTGAAAAATTAAGAGGCAATTTTGAAAGACTAAACGTAGATGCATTAATTCCAACATGTGTATGTTGATTATTTTCCACCAATACCTCATAGAGTTATTTAGAGAATGAAGAAAAGAACAAGTTTATTTGCTCTCTACTTTCAACTCTTTCTACTTGAAACTTTTTTCTTCTGAGTGTCTATTTACGTGTTGCTATTTATATTTCCTGATATAACATGAGGAGATAATTACAGATCCTAGTTATGCGGGCAAGTTTTTCTTAATGACTAACCCTCATATCGAGAATACTGTGGTCAACTTGGTGCGTTTAGCATTTGTTTCCTGACGGATTGTTATTTTTGTATGAAATATCTTTTAAGACTGTTTTGGAATTTGTCTGGAGACGATGAGGGAATCGATGCAGTGCTTTCTTGGAGGATTAGTTATTAGAAGTTTAAGTATCAGAAAAGTGTTTGAGTTTTATTTGGGATAATTATTCTAAATCGTTTGAAAATTAAGAAGTACAGAAATTAATTATTATTGGGAAGGGTCAAAATTGGGTGTTAACAAGTGTCCACAACCCATTTTGACTCATTACAAGCAATGTTTATAATATCTGCATCAAGGAAAATAACAAGATCTTCGGTGGTGACAGTGGCTAGACAATTTTCATTGTCATCTTCTTTAGTTTTCACTTTGTTTTTATTGTCCCTCTTCAACTTTCTGCAATACTTTTTTTTGTGTCGTTTCATGCCACAATGATAACACTCAATATCCTTAAGTCTGTCTTTGGATTTGCTACTATTTTGTTCTCTACACAGAGAACCACGAGTTTTGTTTCTCCCCCTAGGGCTAGTTATCAGGACATCCGACGAAGAAGATTCTTGAGTTTTTCTTCTCATCTCTTCGTTCAATACACTACTCTTGGCGAGATCAATAGAGATCACACCATCCGGAGCAGAATTTGATGAAGAAGCTCTAAATGTTTTCCAAGAGTCTGGTAGGGAACCAAGTAGAAGAAAGTCTTGAATCTCTTCATCGAATTTGATGCCGATAGCTGATAATTGGTCATGATTCCCTGAAAATTGTTCAGATGATCTGTTATCGAAGAATCATCATGATACTTTAAACTCAACATCTGCTTTATTAAGAACTTTTTGTTGTTGCCAGTCTTCCGAGCATACAAACTTTCAAGATGCTCTCATAGGGTTCGAGCATGTGTTTTCCCCGGAAATATGGTTCAACACTTTACATCGACCCATTGCCTAATGAATCCACAAACCTGTCCATTCAACAAATTCCACTCTTCATCTATTTTATTATCAGTCTTTACAGTGGTAAATACTGGTTTCTGAAAATTCTAACATAAAGCATATCTTTCATTTTCCCCTTCCAAATGGTATAATTAACATCATTCAAAGTAATCATTCCACTTGTGTTGACTTCCATCATTTTTCCCCAAAAAGTATTGTTATCGTAGATCAAAGTAAATATTTTCTGCTGTGGAAGTTCAGATTGTGCTGTAACCACATAGCATACTCAATAAAACCTTGGCTCTGATACCAGTTTGTTGGGAAAAATGCGGACAAACCCAAAAATATATATGATAAAAGTAATGAAAATAAAATGGGAAAATAATGACATGAAGAATTTTACGTGTAAACCCTTCTAAACAAAGGAAAAACCACGGGCCAAGAGGACCAACTGATATCACTATAGTGAGGAATTGTATACTGTGTAGTCACGAATACAATACTTAAAGTGACTACTATACACTCAGAGAAACAACACCATTTTGGTTTTCACCTTACTAAAATATCGCTCACACTCTATTTTTCTTTACACACTATTTTTCTTGTATAGTCTATGGAATACCTCACTTTGCTCTCAAAATGGTTTTTCTTTCTAACTTGGTGTGTTTAACAAATGAGCAAGAATGCTTTATTTATAGAAGGAGAAATTCATGTCTATGTCACTAATGACATGGGTAAATATAGCAAAGTCAAAAAAGGGTTGCAAATCTTACTAATTTGTCAACTACCAAATCTTTTATTTTCAACTCTAATTATTGTTCCTTTTTAACAATTACTTGTAGTAATTGAATAGCAAAAGTTGACCAAAATATGAGATGGACTCAACATATATATGGTAATGTGTTCTGGTACTTATAACAATACACTTGTTTGTTGGGTGTAACTGGTATTTTGGAACAAGTTAATGAATACTTATATGTTCTCCATGCTATTTTGTATAAGGGTTTGTTGGAGCTTTTAAGCGTAAAAAATAGAAGTTGAAAATGGATGGACGTAGCTTGCATTCCAAGTCAATAGGTGAAGGGCTGAAGGATCAATAATATTTAGAAGTAAATTTGACAATCATACCTTGAATCTAGGTTATTCTTTTTTGGATGTAAACAACATTCACATATTCATTGGTCCCTCAAGTGGGATGTGAGAAGGGTGGGGTGTATTTAGATCTTACTTCTTTTTTTATTAGATAGGAAGGTTGTTTTCGATGAACCGTGTAGTCAAAGAAGGATTAGAAGGAAAATAGTGACAATAAAATAGCAAGATAAACAAAGTAAATGAAACATGTTTTAATAAAAAATGAAGAATAAGATGTGTCGTGAATACTAAAAAATGCTACTTATCCTACTCAAAAGTATGACAACACTTGGCTATATACTACAGAATCTTCAACCTACATACTGTCGTATCCAGAATCTTGTCTGCAATAAGTTGAGATATGTTATATCTTGTCTAACTTTCTTTTTCGGCTCACATCTATCTCTTATAAAACTTGTTATAGTTAACGTTCCACACCTTCTCTTCACATGTCCGAATTATCTCAGTTTTGTTTCCTTCCTCTTATCAGCTACGAGACCACTTCCAAGTTCCACCTAGTTGTGTAAAACTTTGTTCCAATTTCCATTTTTTCTAATATGTTCACACATCCATTTGAGTATTTTCATGTCTGTTATCTTCATGTTCTAAACATGTACATTCTATTTGGAGATTAAAAATATATTTTAGGTTAAAAGGAGGAATCTAAGAATGTAAAAAGTCAAGACATGATAAGGACAAAGACGAGCAGCCACAAAGGTTAAAAGGGCAAAGATTTGGCTACTTGTTAAATTCTTTATTTAGATTTCAGCAGCCTTTTTGCCTTTCATACATTTCAACTTTTTGCCCTCCATATTCCAGCCATAATCATCAATCTTAACTCACATTTATAATTATTTGGTATTTGAAACTTATTCATATATCTGTTCCACATAGTAATAATACGGAAAGGATGGTCCGAATTAGGGGCTTATCCACGTTGGGTTCAGGGCGTTCAACCGAACGTCTCGGTAAAAAAAATACACGATATATAAAAGATAAATTTTCGATATTTTTGTAGATAGATATATTTTGAACCCCCTTAATAATAAATAAAAATAGATGGTTCAATGGTAAGACCCCTGAATATTAAGTTACATGCCCTCGCTTCTAATCCCTGCAACAACATTTTTTTTTTATAGTTTCAATTTATTTTTGTCTAAAAAAATCAATTCTGTTTTTAAAGAAATCAAAATTGGAGCCAGTGTCGGATTCACAATTACCTAAAATTTGAAGAAGATCACATCCTTGAAATGTATGACGTGATAGCATATTTTGATATTGATTGATTGCATGACTCAAATTTGTGGTAAATCAAACTGAAATTAAAACTTAAGCCACATGAGCTTTTCCATTTAAAAGAAAAAAAGAAAAAAGAAAAAAATGAAGAATCTAATTGTCATAATTCTAAAGTTTTATTTGCAGAAAACTGAAAATTAAACAACTCGATACACAGTTTCCATTGAAATATTATGTAATGTACAAAGATTCAATATTCATTATTATAGTTGTATATTTATACTTTCACTAAATTTATGTCTCTGCCGCTACACTTGAGAGGGTGTGTTGGACATGTACTTAGAAAATATTTCATTTGAAACATTTAATTAATCCAACCAAAAAGGTAAGACAATATAATAGTTATCTTACTCCATATCAATCAAAGTCAAAAAAAAAATGATACGAAGAAAGTTAATGCTAATGAAGTCACTGCTTGGACAAGTGAATTATAATATAAATAAATGTTCAATACATTTACTTGTTGAATCTACAAAGTTAAAAAAATGATTTGTCATTTTATACCTATTTTATTTTTAGCATTAAGTATTATTCATTTCCTAACATTTAAATAACTTATAATAATTAGGAGGTGATATATCATATGATTATTATTTTACCTATTAATTATATCAAATATATCAAAAAGACTTGAGACATAGTAAAATTATGGTAGCTAAAAAGCTTTACATCATCTAATTTATCTTTCAAAACACCAAAAATAAAATAAAAAATACATCAACTCAAACTATTAAAAACTTGACTATTTTTAGAATTAGTAGCTCAATACAACTAAGTACACCCCTCCCCCTTCTACCCATGCTTGTTTTTAATGACTCTGATGTTTGAGTCAATTTTTATCTACTTGACTGATTTTACGAGATATATGCCTATCTTTTACTCCCTATGCTTATATCCTACCATTTATTGGTGAAAAGAAGCTAATTAAAAATTCTTTGTCCCGGTGATAGAATCATCTTGGGATCAAATAGTTCTTTTCTTTGTTGAAAAATATTCCATTTTTTACCAAAATGCTTGATCCATTCCTCTTTTGTCTTGTAATGTGGAAGATATTGCTTTACGTTGAGGCCAACTTTATCACAATAATCTAATATTTCTTCATTTTGATCATCCAAAATTTTGCATTCGTTATATCCACTTGAAGAATGTAAAAATCCCACACAATAAAATGTTTCCTCTTCTGGTATCGTGGCTGACATCCTATCATCCCATCTACATTTTCAAAAATCAAATAATCAAATAATTAATTTTTATAATATTAAATTGCTCAAAGAATATCTACATATATAAGCTTAAAAAAATAACAAATAAATGACTGAATTAGAGTTAGGATAAAGTTACTCAATTTTACTAAACTAGGAGTAACTTTTATAAGATTCCCACAATATATATATTAAACTCTACCACTCCCTCGTATTCAATATATGCAATACACTTTTTTTTGTCTTCCGAAAAGAATGATCGACACATTTATGTATTTAATAACAATTTAACTTTAAAATGTTCATTTTATCTTTAATCAAATAATCTATATTCATACAAACATCTATGATTAAATTTAGATTAATGTTTCAGAAGTTTTACATTTGACATCTATGATTAAATTTAGATTAATGTTTCAGAAGTTTTACATTTGTTTTCTTAACCTCTATATCAAAATTCATATCAAACATCACATAAATTGAGGTAAAAGGAGTGCTACTCCCACTATTCACTTTTAATTGTCATGTTACTCTTTTCGAAAGTCAATTTGACTAATTTTTAAAGTTAAATTAGATTACATTAATTCGATATTTTAAACAAAAAAATAGATATTCAAAAACTATACGAAAAATACTATAAATTTCAATTTTTTCGCATATCAATACAATGAAAAAATATTAATCAAAATTATTATTATTTTACTCAAAAAAAATTATAACAATTAAGAATGAACGGAGATAGTAATATATTATAACTATATATATTACGTATCGAAGGGGGTGGGGTGAAATGATAGTTTTTGAGAGTACCTTTTCCGACTTGTTGGGTAGACAAGTATGGGTCCAGTTGTCTTGTTTTGTCTGAGGATGATGTCCACAAAAACAGCAGCATTAAAATGCAGGATAGATGACTTGGGTACAAACAAATTGAGCCATGGATGTGGAACATCCCACATCCCTTTTGATTGTAACTCTAATTCCCCACTTCTAACTCTATTCAAAAATTCCACAAAACTCACATTTTTCTTGAACATAAATCCACCTAAATACTTCAATCCTTTTACCAACTTCTTCAATTCCTGTACATTTTCAGAAAATTATAATATATATGTGAAGTCAGTCTTATATATATCTATATATATATATATATATACTATATATATATACTATATATATATATACACTAA